ACAAGTAATATGGATAAAATTTTTTGAATTCTATGTAGTCTGAGTGGTCATATAACACAGAAAAGCATTAATTTGAAGAGGAAAATAAATCAGAATCTGCTTATTTCCTAGGAAAATGCCATTCCTAGTGCCAGCATTGGGAATCACTGAGGTGAACAATTAATTTTGTGACATTCTGAAAATTACGAACTTCGCAAAAAGATGCCAAAATATATTAGACTCCGAATACAGTGAAAAAAATTACAATTTCAAGAAACTTTTTCAAATGGTAAACACAATGAGAAAGAACTCCTTAATCAGGCGAAAACTAAGACAAAGTACCTCTGTAATTATGCTGTGATTATTAATTAAGGTAGTTATTATTTGCATTCAGCTTTTGGCCTAATGCCAAACAGATAAAGGGATATAACATTTACTAAACAAATTATACTACGAATTTCCGTCTGCTTTTACTTTATTTCGACCAGTTTTAATCCATCTCATTTTGTTCACTTTCTTTCGATTTTGATACATATTTTCAGCATCTTTTATCTGTAGCATACTGTATCAACCGTAAAACATTTTTAGCGTAGGATATTTCACAAAATACCACTCTTTAAAACTCTGATATAAATTTCAGTGGTAAAATTAATTTAAAAAATTAATACTAAAGCTTTAGTAGCATAAAATGTCAGTGGATCTTTGGACGATAATAGGTTGCAGGCATTAAAAAATCACACACTCGAAAATCATTTTCATCTATATAAGGTTGAGACTTCATTTAATGGACCATTCCTAATGAGAAATTCGATTTATACTATCCTTTTCATTAATTTGTATCATTCAGTTCTGTTGTTCATTGCCTTCTCTCAATAACTATCAACTTGCATCGAAACAGTAATAACAGATTTCGAAGATATTTGCTGCTCCACGGCTACTCATAATTAATCGAAAGTATATCTGAATGCTTTAAATAAATATCGAATATATATAGTAATATGAAGGGAATTGTTTATGCATTCTATGAACTCTAAATATTTAACTGAGAATGACACTACTTAGAACACTTAGAATATCAGAACTTAAATAACGGAGAAGAAATTTCTCCATGTAATTTACTACTCAAGATAAAATTCATAATTAAAAACTCAATATTTTAATAAAAAATGCATAAATTTCTTCAAATTTATTTTCCAATTTAATTCCTCAAAAATTATTCGCCAATAAGAATAATAAGAAATCGAAATATGGAAATTGAAACAATGAAAGAACTTACTTATAAATAAATGAGAAACAAACTAACATTAATATATTTTTCAGGTTACATAATTATTTGTTGATAAAATTAAATTAATTCCAGATTCCGATTTAGGAAGAAAATAAACCATCGGTAACTGTTAAGGGAAATGTTATTAAGAAAACAAAATGTTCAAATAGGCGACCATCGAAGGTTCACTACACGTATGAACCGGAAACATTCCAATGCCCTTTCTGGTAAGTTGATATTTGTCGTAAAACATTAAAAAACATTGAAAACTTTCTGAAAAATCTAAAAATTTTCTAGAATATATAGAACAGAATTCACAAAAACGAAAAATTAACTATAAACTATAATTGAGAACTGCAGTAAATAAATTAATTTTTGTTGTGAAGATTACACTGTAGACTTATAAGCATAAGTCTACACCGATTGCAATGAAGAAATTTCAATTGAAAATGAAGAGCAAAATATAAATTAACCTGTATAAATCTCATGATCAAAATATATGTTAAATATCCATTGAAACAATTCGAAACTTACAATGATATGAAAGTATATCGAATTTCATCATTTAATGACACATTTTTAGGTTAGTCAAAGACTTAAAAAAATTGCAAAAAATGGAAATATATAACTATGGCGCAAAATATCATCATATGATAATTTAGTTGGTAAAACATACTGGCTTTATAATCTGAGTAGGGATATATTCGCATTCCTCCAAAACCAGAATTGGTTGTAAAAGTGCAATTATTCGATTCCGTAGATCGTATTATTCCAGACAGAACTCTTGATGATTGTGGTGTTGGTAGACTCCCAACCATAAAGGCATCAGCAGTAATTTTTCTAACATAGTCTTTTTTTAATACAGGCTCATGAAGATTCATAGAAGGATGTACATTGGCAGGACGACGCTCTAAAGTGACGAGCTTTCGGTTCTGTACACACTGCATGTCCAAATTCTTTACATTCCTTTTAAACGAAACACTTGGCCATTATTGACCTATTGAACTTACCAGACGCACCGGCAATAGAAGTGGGAATCTTGTAAGCCGCCTTAATTAAGAGTCAACTAACCCTCTGAAATAAGGTTAAGTTGGAATAGTCAAACAATTAAACCAAATTTATGTGCAAAACAGATCAGTCAAACTAAATTAAATAATCTTTGATAATATTAAATAACATGAATTAAATAAAAGTACTTATATATAGAAAATATCCCCATTGGCACTACTGATTTGTTCCATGATGTGAAATGCAAATATCTTATTTTAATTGGTTTTATTTATGTGATTCTTCGTCGCGTACAGTTTTTAAAGATTCATAATTTTATGCTTAGCATACTTTGTTGCAGCATTTTATTTTCATTGTTTTCGACTTCGTTATATTTTTATTTAGCACTCTCATTTGGTCTTTCCTTACTTATCATAGTTGAGTTCACACTATTAAAGCCTTAAAATTGCTTCGCCTGAAGGAAAATCCTGAAGTCTTGATAACGCAAATTGGCCTTCGAACACTTTTGAACACCGAAGTGTGAACATCTATTGTTTTTCGAAATTGAATGAGCTGGTATTGAGAGGCAATTAATTTAAAATAAAATTTTAATAAAATGTAAACTTGACAAAAAAGTAATCTACCAAATGAGGTTATTTGTAAGAATAGACTACTTTGTTTTGTGCTATGAATTCAAAGCAGTATTGGTATGTTTTTTTTTAATTTTTGCCCAATCGCATTATACTTTTCAAAAATCAATGTCTCTGAGAAAATATGAAGTGTAAATTTGGGTGCTTGTAGAGTTCATTGATGTCCTAATACGAACCAAAATAGCTAGATTGACTTCAATGCCGACAATAGAGCTGAATCCTTTATATTCCCAGTTATTAATTCATATAACCCTTAGTTATAATTTTATCTCTTATTTTTTATTTATCTTGTATTTATACTAGATAGCTATCTTTGAAACCGATCCCATTTACATGTTTTCACATGTATGAATATGAAGCCCACGTATTCGTTTTTTAAGATATCTTAGAAAATAATTTCAAAAGAAGCTGTGCTTTTACTTTCTTCCAACTCATCTATTTTTACAGTTTGATTGGAACCCTCTGTTCTGCTATCTTATTCATTCATTAAAGTAACTAGTGTTAGAATTGTATTGGTTTTTTGGTGCTTTAGCGCGCATATTTGATTAACTATGGTTCTTTTTATCTGATTTCCACGTGATTATTTCTAAAAGGATCTCACTAAACTAAAAAGTACGCTCATCAGAAGACTTTCTTGAGTTACATTAATCCATCGTGCTTACTGTAGTCCTCATTTCCACTGGTACAGCGTTGACATTGTTCCTTTCCATTTCCTACCTGATCTTGCTTCTACCTCCCCACATCCTGCGGACAATTACCCTGCCCATTACCTTTAAGCTACAAGTAATTACTACTATTAGGATTCATCGTTCTTAAAATTTGATAAAGTAGGTTTATGGCAAAAAGATATATTAAGAAATATGAATGTTTATTAAAAGTTCAGGATCTGGTTCAACCAACTAGTATGATAAGTTATAGGGGGTGGGTGACAGACTTACCTCCACGTGGTGCACCCTGGACAACGTATATACATATGGAAAAAGTCTATTGATGGGCAGTTGACTTCCAACTACCATGGCTGAATGGATGTCATATTCGACCTCTTCCACAGAACTCATCTTATCTTTTCTCTGCCTTTGTGTCTGTCTGTCTCCTTTAAGCACGTGAATCATTATTTTGTCCCCCTCTCGTCTTTTGCCACTTTGATGTTTCTCCTCCTCTATATGAAGCCCGAAGTCAGCTAAAGAGCTAATGGTTACTAGCAAAACGCCTGTCATTTGAAATAAATAAATTATTAAACATTTATATATGAGTGAGCCTTATTGCGCAGTTGTCAATGAACCAAGAACTATTTAATATTTAGAAATTTGCATCTGCTTAAAAAAAATAGAGCTGACTGAAAATTCGCCACGGCGAGGACACGAAATGTCTTAATATGTCTGAAAATGGATTGAGATTCAATGGGGGGAGGGGAGGGGGGGGGGGGGGGGCGGAGAAATACCTTTTCAGCATCAGAGAAAGCAAGATTTCTGATTTCTAGGTTACCCCATTTAAGGTCCTTTGGCAATCCTCTGCTTGCAATCATCATTCCATTTTAACTTGAAATCGAAAATAGAAAACCCTATTATTTATTCGTAACTATGAAAAACGGTAAATAGAATTGGTAAATAAATTTAACAAACAAATACAACAGATAAATAAAAATAGATTGCTATCATCGCACAATCAGTAAATTATTTGGAATACTAATATTTTTATTCAAACTAAGGTATATTTATATATTGATAATACATGGCATGGTATGAATATATATGAATTAAAGTAACCACTATGAAACTTTTAGCTGATGAAAAGTGAAAATAACTACGTAAAACACAATATACATAATTAACCTGAAAAAATATAATATTTTTAGATGGGAATTTTTTGTCAATTAAGTCGTTTTAGTTTTATAACTGTCCAATAATAATAATTGTACTTCCGTTTCGTGTGGTAGTTGTCTGCAGCCGCTAAATTACTTTAAAAGGTCCTGGAGATATTGCAAGCTACGCTAAATTTCTAAGTTTTTTTGTTGTTGATTTTTATTATTCGAAAACGTTTATTTTGTCTTTATTTATTTTACATCGGCATTCTCACCATCTTATCTTGATGTAAGATTTTGATTTCAGATTCTATTAATGACAGCTATAGCTGAATTCGAGCAGAAAATAGCCTCTCAAAGATTTAGTTCGTTTCAGCAGCTGCAGGAAAATTTGAAGGATTTCTCGGATGTATGCTTACTTTTCTTACTAGCGTTTTCTATTCTTCAGACATATGGGTACAAATTTGTAAATTCGAAGTTTAGCTATTTCCAAGAAAACACCATTAATCGCCAGCTCTTTGTTTACAAGTACCTCGATTTAAAATGCGCCTATGCAAAGAAACGTGGTTGTATTGCTCGTTGCAATGTTCGTTGTCGCAATAATCACATGTACGTCCGCGATTGGTCCATGGAGCACAACCATCCACCAGATCCACCGGATACTTCTACTCTTGTTGATTGCACCGAATCCTTCCGACATATATTCGCCGTCAGATTATTCGACAGTCTTCATGATCTCGAAGCCAGAATACATGAGCTAGAACGGGTAAATTTTATTTCATTGCCGTTACGACACTAAGTTCTCTGATTTGCGTTGTAAACTTATTTTTTTTTAACTACGCATTAGTTGTTTAGCGCTTTTAACTAAACAGAAGAAGATGTCTGTTTACCCGTTATCAAAATAGGCGAACATGCTTAATAAGTTCTTGAAAGGTAGCTGTATGTGTTCATTTATCAGACATTGCCGATTCATCCACACTATCCTAGTTTTCGTTGTTCACTCTAATCATCCGACTTGGTCTTTCACTTTTGGGTGGTGACTTCTGCTAATAGATAACTTTATACTAGTTTAACATTAATGGTGACCTAGAAGTGCTATTTCTATAGCATCTAATGTTTGTTTTTTAGGTAACTGGCACAAGATTCACCAAGTACTCGTCCAGAATGCTTCCAGAAACCAGCGAGCATCGCGAGCGTCTGGTCTATGAGCGAGTCAATTATGCTTGTATTCATGCTGGCAAGACAAAATCTCGCTGTTCTGCTTATGTTGGCGTCCGCTCACAGAAAATAGGCTGTCAAGCACGAATTCGGGCCTGTATTTCTGGTGACAAGTTGAAGGTTATGCTCTTTAGCATGAAACACAATCACATCGTCTCCAATGACTACGAAAGTCGCATGTTACTTTCCCCCTCCGTAAGTCGCATTCCAAATTTTTTGACAAATATTAAAAAGCACAATCCCTTATTCAGGAATCAGAGCTTGAATATCTGAAATTTATGTTAATTTGCATTATCTACCTCTGTCTGGAGTTTTAATTTCGAAAATCGAAACTTATCAAATTAATAAGCTTTAGTTATTATCAAGAAATGTATAGTTGTCTATTTGTTATTGAGCGGGGTTGGATATATTAGATTATGGGATATGAATGCGAAATATCTCAAATTTTCCTAGTGTTTTACCAACTTCGATTATTTTAGTTCATGTCTGGGCCATTCAGTACTGTTCCATATTTGTAATTTGTCTAATATGAAAATAAGTAATCAGGTCCTTAGAGTAATCGTGCAAGTCGTTGACTTATGAATGTCTGCTAAACCCATTGAACATAAACGATGATTTAAATTGATGCTTAGAGGAACAATATATTAGAGCCCCTCTTACACCCCCGGATGAGTTGGCCGTTAACCATCCACATAACTGGCTTGAAAAACGCGTGCGTTGATCATGATGTACTCTACTAGAAACTAATTTTAGCACTTGGATATATAATGATAATCATTACTGGTTCCTCTAATTTATCTTTCTATAACCCCGTATTGATCAATGTAATTAATAATTTTGAACAAGACATCTTGGTTGGTGTTTCGGGGTCTCGTAACTCCTGACTCAGTATGTTATTCCTTGCTATGTCATCAACACAGACTCGTTTCTTGTTTTTTTTTTAGATTTTATTTTCAATGAATAGATAACGCCTATTTTCCTAAACGATGTAGTTAGTTGAGATCACAGCAAAGTAGTGCAGCTTTATTCTTCCTTATTGTTTTCATCTTTTATCCCTTTAGAATGACGAATTTGCGGGTACTTCAGGTCTAGAGGATGCTGATGTGGACTATGAATTGCACCTTCCAAACTTGGATTCCGCGTCTGAAACCCTTTTCCGTGGAGATGACCTACCCTCCATTCCAATCGTCTTTAAAAAAACACGTTCCTCTCAGCAACACAGTAATAAAGCTGTGAGCACATGTATTGTATACTTGGGCATCGCTTTCTCTTTTCGACTTCATTTCTAACCTTTTTTCTCATTTTTAGTTCAGGCACCTGAAGTGCAAGCGGGCTCCTTCATATTATGACCAAAGAGAAGATGACGATTATCAAAATTATGATGATGGTAAGTTAAATTGACTTCATTCTGATAAGGTGCGGAAATATATGGGAGTGGAAGGTTTAGTAGTTTGTTTCTAATTTTTAATTGTCAGTTATTCGTTTCTTCTAGTGTTTGATATTTGTGAAGAATGATCAATTTTCTGTAATAAGGTTTCCTGTCGTGTTTTAATATTACGTCAAATGAAGGAAAGTTTTGTTTTTAATGCTTTGAGATTTACAAGTAAACCTTTTGGTGATAGTTATATTGGAATAGAGCATAGTTTCACAAAATAAGCAAAAAGTAAAACATTTAATGCACAAGTATTGGCATATGTACGCGTCTATTTACAATGGTTGTTGGCGAATTTAATGATTAATTGCATAGACTAGGATATGTGAAATAGAGAACGTATGTATCTAATTGTGCCATTTGAAAATCCTAACATGTTTTTTTTCTTCCGGCTTGTTTTTCCCACTTTCGAACAGTTCATAGGCGTTCTAAACGTTCCAGAGCTTCACCATTCAACAATCAGGTTTGTTTCTTCCTAGTAATTTCTTAACAATCTCACGATTTTATTTACCATTATATTTTTCCCAATATAGGGATGTTATGGTGGAATCTATGATGATTCAGACGATGCGGAAGTTGAAGGCGAACCTTTTGAAATGACTGAGAGTGATAGGCTCGATCTAGAGTGCAAACATTCAAATGAAGGGGATAGTAGGATCAAAACTGAAGAAGGAGTCGTATCTGCTTACTTACATCATTCTGATTCATAAGAGTATGTTGCAAAAGTAAACGAGCTTTACTTTACAACAATTAACCTATTTCCTTTTCCATTTTAGTGCAACTGATTGTTAAGTATGCATTGGATTTGAATTTGATTGTATCTTATAATTGTAAATAGTAACAAAAATTATGCTACGCTTGCATTTTTCCTTCTTTACTGATGGAAATTCTTGATGGTAATGGGATTTTTTATACTGGCTTTTCACTGATAACAAGCTCATTTAAAAGGCCCCTATGCAATAATCGAGCTAGTGACATTTTTTCCCTACTTGTTTGGAGGGGTGGTTTTATTGACTGATGTTACTTTCGGTGGCTGTTTTGCTTCTTGTCGAGCTATTTAGCCAGAAATCTGTCATTAATTGGCTTCAGAGGGGTGAAATTGCCTCGTAGGGTTGTGGGGGTGGCTTGTTTCGATCAGCGACTATGTGCATTTTAATGCTGCCAGACCATGCATATTGATTAGTTATTCATATGCGAGGAAGAGATAAATTATGTCGCAGAAGCCATAATTTCACTTAGCGCTACTCGAAATCAACACCTAAGCGTTGGCTATGGCATAATATGAGTAGATGATTACTTTGTCAATTTTGGAATAGCAGAAATTAACAGTATGCTACCACTTTGAATGTCAGAGAGCAAATGTGCTTTCTAATGATTTAATTTCAAAGGAGGGAAAGGTATTGATCGAATTTGAACATAATAATACCTTAATCAATATATAGTTGAGCATTTTAATCAATGGACATTGAAGTTAAGATCTAGCTGATTCAATCAGGAATATCAAACCAATAATTTAAAAAAATTAATTCGTCTGGTTGACTTTTTAAAATTCAAATTCACAAATTGATAGGAAAATGAATAAGTAATATGTATATGCACAAAAGTCTGAAAGACACAAAATATTGAAATAAATAGAAGATTTGGTTAGAATTAAGGTTTTAATTGTTTAATATTAATAAAATATTCCATTTTAAGTGTTTTAATGTCCTAATATGACCTAATTATAGTTCGCCTATTGGGGATTGTTAAACGTTGACTTTGTCGAAGTTAGCCGTGACGTTTATGTAATGTTTGTGTGATTTTCGCTTTTAAAAAGACGAGAGTTATTGAAACAGCGGTGATATTTTTATGTATATAAAAGAAAATCTTTAGAAAAATTGATATTACTTCATTTTGATTTAGAAAGCTGTTTTAATTTTTCCATTGAGAAAATGTTTAGTTGTTTCTTTCTAAATATTCTAGATCAAGAGTCTCGAGTTATGCCAGCTGCAAATGGACCTGATCGCTCTGTAATCTATTCGTTTTCCTATCCCGTTTATCAACTTAAAGCAATTGCTCCAAACATCCTATTAACTGCCGGCGGTGGTGGTAATCCCCGAACAGGTGTTCCCAATCGCATCGATGTGATTCAATTTGATCGCCCCGCTTACGCTCCTGCTAATATTGATACTGATGAAGCTCTTATTCCCGTGAACACATCCGTGGTTGGTGGAATAAGCACTCAAAATGAGGCTATCATGCACATGGCCTTAGGGTCGCAATCTTCTGGAGCAGCTTCAATTCTTACTCTTGAAAAGTCCACATGTCAGGAGTATTTTATTCATGCTAACCACCTTGAGCCCTCAACCATCGCAGATCAGATTTCAACAGATCAAGTATGTGCCATCACTTCCAGTAAATTGGCTTACCAAACACATAAGTATTCTAGCTCCAACTCATCAACAGATGATAGTTACAATGGAATCACAGGTGTCAGTTCTACCACCGTTAAAAGAAAGAACAACCATCCGAAAAAATCTGCAGCTGATAGTAGTGGAAAGGAACAATTGCCGTGGAGTTGTGAAAAGTTGAGGAATGTTAGTGTTGCTCCGACAAAGGCCCTATTTGAACGTAGACGACTGGACAGCTGTAGCAGTACTGGAGATGTCTATCCAGTAAAAGATGAGGAGGATGAGTTGACCTGTATTGCCTCAGGTGGACCGGTGGGTTGGGATGGAGCTTGGTGTGCGGTGGGTACTGTACACGGAGGTGTGGCCCTCTTTGATCGATTTGCACTGGCTGATAAGGCCTATGATCCAAAATCACTGGCTTCTGCTTATGGCTCCTATGACTTTACTTTTGATGGGGATGTGAAGGATACCTTTCTTCCGTTACGAGTGAGTTGGAATACTTCTAAAATCCTAAGTTATATATGTTTATGGACTTGTTGTATTTCTGGCGTCAATAAGTGTTTTGTCTGTTACCATAATATTAGGTCATTAAATGATCCAATCCTTTTCATTTAACTGATGTTTGGTTTGTAAAGGAAGAAGTTCTTCTGCATTTGATCATATGAGAAACCCTTATTTTGTCGCCTCCTGTTGATTACATTTGCGGTTCACTAATAAGCGCCTAATGTTAGATATTGGGCTCAGTTTTTGGAGCTGTGCAGATTGGTCACTTTCTCTTGCTCCCATCTAGAATAGAGGGAGGTCTCTAAATTTTTGCTTATTAAGCAACATGGGTAGCTAGCATTGATTTCAGCTACTACGATGGTATCCGTGATCTTTGACTATAACTGCATTAACTCTTCTTTGTCGTTAAAGCTTTTATTTCATTTTTTAATGGTTGTTTTGGTAGTTATCCCCCTCCCATGCGTTTGTAATGATCTTTTTTACTTCATCATTGTTATGAGTAGCCTTCTCTTTCCTTTGATCCTTAACGATAAAGTTACAATTCTCATAAGGGATATAAAATCCCTTTTATAAGTTGTCTATTATTCAGTTTTGCTTCTCTTAGAAGTCTCTTCATGACATTTCAGTTCTTGAGAAACACTTCTGCTGTTTTTGCTATGGCAAATAATGTGAATACGTGGACTGATAGACTTTTTGTAGAGTTAATTGTGCCTGCATATCTTTATTAGCTAGTTTATATGTAGGCGGTTTATTAATTATACCTTTAATCAATCAACAATCCACCCCCTGTACAGATTGGAGTTATAAAAACAACTATTTGCGATGTCAAAAGGAAAATGAAAAGTATTTGCCCTTTTTAACAATCCGAAATGTTCTTTTTAACATTTCTAGCCCAATCCTATTCCTTATATTTAGTTTATGGTACATGTGAATTCATGATTGAGTAGTGTCAATCCTCATATTATTAGACCTAGAATTTGGAGTTCATTCGGTACCCCTATTTGTTATTACTTACCCTTTGTTTCTTGAACGTTGCGTTTTTTAATTTTATTATTTTGCATTTATTTGATTAGAAATATGCTGATGTTAAGAGTATTTAAATGATCCTTTTATGCACTACACCTAGCTTCTCATTTTTCTGATTATATTTCTTTGTGAATCCCGTTTATTTAAGATATCACGACATAAAAATCTGTCACATTTTTTCTATTAAGTCAAAGTTCATAGATAGCTATCACTTGCGCGTTTTTCCCGCATGATTTATTTTATGTTTTCTCTTGTTCACCTCTATGAAATTGTCCTTTTGAAAATCGATCAGTTCAACGCTTAACGCTTTTTTGCATGAGCTAAACAGAATTTCCATAAGCCATCCTGGACTTTCTTTAGAACCTGTGGATTAGTGATCAGTAATTAATTTCTTTACATATTATTGAATAGATTTCGGGCTTAATAATTTGGCGGTAGCTTTGACTTACTCTTGACCACTTATGTAGAAGCTTCTGTCTCGCATGTTTTCTTTTACTGAAGTTTCAACGACATGCCACTTTGTGAATCTGGATGGTTGGATGGATAATTTGCATTCCAGAAGGTTTTTCGCTGCAGTTTCATCTAACTTTTTTCCATTGCCAGCTCATGTCTTGGATTCCTGTGTGTATTTACGAGATCGCCTAAATTTCACTTTGGTGTGCAACTGGACTTAGCATATTTCGAGTCCCCTGTGTTTCATGCATAATCCACCCCCCCCCTTCCCCAATTTTTGAAATTTTCATTCTGTGTACATGTGGCACCTCTTTCGATGAACCGCTCATCGCTTCAGCTGACGTTAGCTATTGCCTGTTTCCCCTCCCACTCGGAGGTAATTCTTTTTTTAGCTTTTCTACTTATGCTCTGCCCACGTGTTTTGATAGAATTTGAATTTAATCATGTGAAAATTGCTCACAGCCAAATCTAGTGTTTTTGCTACTGTGAGGGCATTTTTCTCATCTCCAATTTTCCATTTTGCTGTTATCTTTTATCTTGAGCATTCATTTTAATTCTGAGCTGTGTGTGTTGAACAACTGAGTGGAAAAATATTTCAAATTGCGATGCAATTTTCCACGTCAATTAAGCCCACTTGCATGAAATATGTAATTATTAGGTTGTAGGTAACTACAATTGATATTGGCTTATGGTGATCTTGTATGAATATCTCATATTACTGGGACTGAATGAGTAATTCGAATTAATATAATATCATTCACGTTTCAGTTTCTTAAGAAAGTCAAAACTCGTTCATGTGTAAGAATTGCCAAATTCACCTGTGCCTATCTGACATCTGTAGACGTGGGTGCTGTTTGCATTGTATTTCAACAATTCTGTGTATATGAATTTTTTTGCTTTTAAAGCATTTTTTTGTATGTGCAAGCAGATGCGGTGATTTCAGTCATTAGCAGGCCAAGTAATATGGCATCAGGCCGTAGCAATACAATTCTTGTCAGCAGTACATTGCCGGTCAAATCATCGGAGCATGAATAGCCGATTTCCGACTATGCTAGCGAATGCTACTGTAGCGACCCAATTTCTTAAATTGCAAAATATTCAAGTTTGGTAGAAACGGGAGAGATGGGAAGAGGAATTCATAATGATGTGAAGTTGCACTACTTAATTTGAACACGGGTGACATTTATTTGAGCGCTTCTTCATGGAAGGTACAATTTACCTCTTGTTATCTAAAAGTTCCATAGTTAAATTTTCTTACTTAATTGTATTCTTGTCGCCAATAGCCAACGCTTTGACCAATCGATTTGATTTAGTTAATATTGACATTGGCGCTTATTCACTTTCATCTTCTCAAGGCGATTTTACGAGGCTAGCAATCGAATCGTAGTATTTTAAACTAATGTTTGATAAAATTCCTTAACATACCGATTTGCTACTCTATTTGAGCTTACTTAAGTAAAACATGTGCCTGTTTGTATCTACGATGGTTTATTTTTTCGCTAATTAAAGTGCATTTGGCGTCCTTCAAATCATTGTCTTGAACTTGTTTTTGAATAATAACAATCTGTTTATCCCTTGTTTTATGCTATGTGGTAATTTAATCACTCATTAAATTTAGTAAATTAGAGTTTCATGTACGGCTTTTGTTTTAACTTGGACCTTTTGATTGGAATGAACCTTTTCTCATATCGCCCACTCGTCGTATTGAGTATTTACATTTGGTTATTTCCACTCCCCCACCCCTTAACACGCATCTCAAGTGGTGTAACATTCGAAATGTAAAAGTCGCTGTCATTTGAGATTTTCTTAACCGCTTTGCTTAAACCATACACTTGATCATACTGCTCACTTGGTGCGCAGCAATGAGTGCTGAGTTGGTCATCTCTGATCTAGCAAACGCTTATTCTCTGCTACTCCAATCTATTATATATAAGTCTATTGCTGACGGTAGGTCAAAGCTGAAATTTATGTTCTTTGTTAACATTACAAGGCATCTAATCCACCTCCAAACGTAGTAGGCTCATTTATATCATTTTTTTGATTGCTTTTAACCAACGTTTCAATCTAATAAGCCTTGTGAATCGCCAATACTCTACCTTCATATTACATTTATCTATCAGTTTCTGGTTCCCTCCCCTTTGAATGTTTGTTTGTATAGTGACCAATTTCTTTAGTTAATATATAGGTTGTCACTATCTGCATATGTTTTTGTCGTTTTTTCCCCATTTTAATGAAACTTAAGTAAAAGTAAACGATGATTTTATAAAACTGCGTTTTATTTACCTTCTAAAGTGAAGATTGCGAAAACTAAATACACTGATCTTGTTATCATAACTAGTTTAGCGCTATCCGCTGCGTTCCCACCTAATAAGCATGTTTTCAGTTGATATACCTGTTTACCTTACAGTGCTTAGTCTAACGTGTACTCTTATCGCTTAAATCAATAGTATTTAGCTAAATTTGCCGTAGTTTACCACCGTAGAAAGTGTGGTTTTAGTAAGAATTTATTACAGAATATATAGTGTAGACAAAATAAGGTAGAATGAAAGTACACGAAGGTCTATGAGAGTATAGTGTACTGATATTGGACCAAAAAAAGAATACGAAGTGTTACAAGTGTGGCCACAATGACTACCTTCTTATAAATCAGCATGCTTATTGTTGAATATGTCAAAGGTCCATTATTACTTCAGCTGGTGTAACGCTAGCAAATGCCCCCCCCCCGTATTTGATGGCGTGTTTTTCATGTTAGTCTTTTTCCTTTTTTTCAGTAGTGACATACTCGACAGTTTACACCATTATCGAAATATCTAGACAATTGGAGTTGCTATTTCTTCTATATGAATACAAATTAGCTGTTGGTAACTTCTAATACACTCTAGCATTTTAAATCATTGGAAAAACTCACCCACCAATGTATGCACTTTTATGACCATCAACTGGGGGACATTTTGCTGGTCGGTTTTGCTCTACCTAATAATTGCCTTCACTCAAATGGTGAAGAGTTGTCATTTTTTTGTAAGTGATTGAATCTCTGACACATGGCGCTTATTGAACGAGCCAAATGTCGTAGTGAGGTGACTCTCAAGTTTTTTTTATTATTCAAATGATTTAATTTTTAATCAGTTGTTATGTTAAATTGGAACATTTATATCAAATAACAGGCTATATGATAGTTGTCATTCGCTCTTTAGTTGACTTCGTGTTTCACAGAGGCGATGAACATCAAGGTCACAAAAGTTGAGTGGGGAACAGAAGAGTAGCACAAAGGTAGAGAAAAAGGAAAGGTGAGTACAGTGGAAGTGGTAGAATATGATATACAGTGGGGCCGTTGTAGCTTGAGGTCAAAAGTCAACTGTCGTTTGATAGACTAATTTTTGCGTATGAGTATACGTTGCCCAGGTGCACCACGTGGAGGTAAGTCTATCGCACACTCCGAATTGGAGCATATTGCATACGTAACATGAGATTCATTTGAATTCTGGTTTTTGCGCTGGTGATAAAATCCTCACAACTCTTGATCTCGAGCTCTTCATAACAATTCTCAGTGGTCTGTGCATTGACTTGAGTCTCTTTGGTCTTTGTAATCGAATTATCGACTTCCAAAATTCACAACTAAGTAAGTGTGGTGATCTTTATAGCTACCTACTGTCCGCTCGTTCTATAGTCAAAACTGTTGTTAATATTCACTCTGAATCTCCGAGAATTCAATTTCTGAAGCCTACTTTAATCGACTAATAAGTTTCGGCAAATAACAAAGCAAAATTTGCTAAATTCAGCATATGAATTATTTACAAAATACGAGATTAACCGAATTTGTCGAGTTCATTTGATTGCAGACGATTATACGGTCAAAAGTTTAATGTTTATTTTGTTTCATTATTAACCAGAATTCCAATTTGGATTAATCTACATATGGGGCCACATTTTAACTTTAACTTATGTAATTTATGCCATTTTTGGGCTTTTAAGGCCGGACATGAAGTCACAAAATAAGGTTAATATATTCGGGCATGTGTATGATCTGATGATTAATGCTTTACGTGCCGAATTGGTCGGAGCTTATAACGTAAAAAGGTAAGAAAGTTATCGTTATCGGCTGTGTTTAATGAATTATATCAGTCCTAAAAAGGCGGCCTTGTCCAAGAATCTGAAATTGCATTAATTATTTTTTGAAAATATGTTATTACTTTGAGCAAACTGTACTGTTTTTGGGCTAACTAATTATTGCTCAGGTGGGTAGAAGTTATGAAGAATAAGATTGGGCGAAATTTTATCTCTCCTTCTCAAACACTTTGTGCAACATTGGACTAGGGCAGAGCTGCCCCCTCTGGCAAGAAACTGCCATCTTCCACTTTTATTATTTACGAGTGCGCTATGGGTCATGGACCGATGGTGCCTAATCTACCAGACGTGTTCACAATATCTACTGAGTTTTTCTGACCATACAGCGCCTGTTGATCATCTTATTGAATAAACAAAATGGACGGAGGGATACTTGTCAGTCCCTATTAAGTTCATTCATTGGTTTTGGTTCAGAGAATATTTCGTTTGGAATTTATGTCTATTTTTTCCTTACCCAAGAGATTCATCCTTACTTAATTCGTCGAAATGTCACCCCCGATCTAATAATTAACGCATTTGCTATGATTTAATTCAGACCCTTTTGGCAGCCCATTGGATTTATAATCCTACCCTTTTATTCGCGTAATGGTCCATAAATTAGAATCCGAGTAGTTATTTGCTCTTTATATGGACTCAGTCATCTGGCCTTTTGATAATTTATAGCCTTTCTGCACATTGCCGGACGCAAGTGGCGGTCGTTGTGCTCCAGTCTGTGATGTAGCTCTCTCAGCAACCACTTACGGTGCTTCCACAACCTCTTTGAAGGCTTCCGGGGGTGAGACAGCGAAGTTCCAGCATGCCCCAACCGTCCCTCTCCTAGCTACAATCAGTGGTCGACCTCGGGGTAGCCTCCTCTGCATTTGGCGTCTCCCCCAGTCCTCCACGCCAGAAGCCACAATTATAACAGCAGAGAGACACGTCAAATTTGGCCCCGGGGCAAGCAATGAGGAAGCAACTGCTCTTTCCCCCATGCTCTATGCTGAAGTTAAAATGGAAAATGCTCATGTGGATGCTGACTCTAAGAAGGTATACCTGGCGTGTTCTCTAAACTATTATACTGTGTTTAGCTATAATAGAGAGAAATAACTCGGGAATAAGTATGGAGTTTTGCACATGGGGTTCGGGGTTGCCAATTCTTCTCGTCTGCCTTTATGTGACTTGAAGCAATGGAAAGTAGGGCGCTACTTTTCTTTCTAAGAACTCACTAATATAGTCGTTTATAGTGTGTAGTACATTAGTCAGAGCGTGGGGTTGTAGTTTTTGCTTTTATCTCAGGTTACGTCTTATTTCTATCATCTAGTGCTGATTACCTATTTGTTGATGAGATTGCTAGTTTAGCGTACTTTCAATTCTTCAGTAACGACACGCCTGTTAACTTGCACGGTCAATCACAGCATTCAGTTAAAAGTGCATTAACTTGGAAAAGGTCATAGCTGTGGTTTCGTCAAATATGCTTCTAAAGTACAGAATTTGTTGGTTAACTTTATGACTAAGTTGGTGGTTGAAATGATGCGAGCGTACATCTTGATTTGTTAGTTTCAAACCCAATGCATAGGTTATGGTTTGTTGATTTGCTTTGTTGTTACCAATGTTGATTAGTGGTATTTACTTTTTCCTCAGCATCCAACTCGATCAGAAAATGGCACCCGTTTCCGCCATTGTGAATTCCTTCGCTGGATTCACCGTAGACCTACAGGTGTGACACCACTTGCAAATGATAAACAAGACGAAAGTGGTCTCTTCACTTTCCTTGTTACCACAGAGCAACCAGTCAGCCCCACAACTCGTTCAGTATGCCATCTTTCTGTGTGGTTGGTTCCCCTTCCTTCATCCAGTACTCACACCCAGACAGTACCACAATCAGTATTGGGCCTTGAACGCTTTGCAGCTGTACCGCTTCCTCCCGGTGAAATTCCTGCTTGTATTGCCGTTCATCCGAGTGCTCATCGTGGAATTATTGCTCTTGGAACAATGGAAGGATCAGTTGAAGTCTACATGTAAGCTTTTCCCTTCTTTCGTTCTTCACTTCGATACGATTATTTGATTTTTTCACTTTTAAAGTTTGCATCGCCTTCATCAGCTTCAAATAGCTTGTATGTGTACTTTTCAAGTCTGGTATTTTGTTAGTGGGAAATAATTTTGCCTTTTCGATAATTAGTTTAATTTCCAATTGGTTCTCACTTTATTGACGTTCAAATGTTTAGTCTTAAGTTTCATATTCCAATGTATTTCTAAAAATGAGTATAAACTTTTAGGTAGACAGGCTTAGGATTACACTCATAGACTCATGAAGTTCAATTAGTCTACTCGCCAAATTATTTTAGGAAGTCCTGTTATCAGACCTCAATGAGGAATATTTTTTTGGGGGGATGCTATATAAGTTCCTCTGCTTATCTAACGCTGAAACCTCCTTTGAGTCACCAGATACTTCAGTAGTGACTTGTTCAATCTGGTTTCCGTTTGTTCAGTCATCCGTGGGTGAATCTGCCTCCGCAGGAGAATTCACGAAAAAATGTTCAAATACAATGCAACTGATTGTTTCCGAATTTTCCCGGGAAGATCTTTGTTCCACAAGCACAACACGATTAACACCCCCTAAGGCTAAGTGAAATGTGTGTATAGTATTAGACCGCGGACTGTAGAGACGGGATGGGCTAAATTTCTCTTTCTAAAATCGCTTATGCGGCAGCCCTGATTAGGACGATGACTAAGTTTGTACAGGAGGGGGTCTCGTTTAAACACATATTGAGGTCAGCAGATATATTTATTTATATTAAATGGCAGGCGTTTTGATAGTTATCATTAGCCCTTTAGGTGACTTCAGGCTTCACAGAGGAGTGACAAAAAGTCGAGAGGGGGGGGGGGCAAAAAATGATTCACAGATGTGACAGAGACAGACAAAAGAGCAGTGAAAAGGTAAGATGAGTACTGTGAAATGGGTTGAATATGGCATACAGTGGGGGTAGTTTGAAGTCAGAAGTCAACTGCCGGTTAATAGACTTTTCTGCCGTATGAGTATACGTTGTCCAGGGTGCATCACGTGGAGGTAAGTCTATCGCACACCCGAGGTCAGCAGATATGTCCGAAATTAATGATGGAATTAGATTCTGCCCATCTATGCCATTATTAATTTCAGATGATGCATAATTTATGGCTACGAGAAGTGGTTAGGAGATATCGTCAAAACTAAATTCAGAATGTTGCAATTATGTACAGTTCCAGCCAAGCTTCGAGATGTCTCTGAAGTGGTACTTACTTCATTTGGATTGTGTTAGTCAAATTTTCGAAACAATTTTATGTTCTTTTGCTCAAGCTAAATGGATACGCTGAGTCTATCTATCCATTCCTGAAAATTAGAACTACTGCTTTTGCAAACAAGATGATTATTCCTGTACCCTGAGATTATCAGATACTTTTAAATTTATCGACCATAATGTTTCTTCTTATTGTAGGATATCCCTATATGACCATAGCTTGGTATGTGTCTACAGCCGTCCAAAGGCTCATCGACTCTTCGTGACAAGTTTGGCATTCCTTCCGCCTAGAGAGCGCCATTCGCAAAAGCGTCAAGAAGGCAGCGAAGCGAAACATTCTCTTCTACCAGCTCACTACGAACTTGTGAGCTCCAGTGCGAATCGGGTCATTCGTTGGCACAAAGGTCCTTCGCTAGAAACTATCGCTCAAATCGGAGCTCGTGCATATCAACCATCATTTCGTTCTCGACTCTTAAAGAACATTGTCTTCCTTCTTCTTCTCCCTTTCATCATTGCATTCCCTATTCTCATCTCTTTTCCCCTCTTCACGGAGTGAAGAGGTGCGATGACAATTTAATTACTGGTTGCAGGAGTAGTAGTGGATACTCTGAGGCAACCCTATCGTCTTTCCCTGCACCCTTCTGCCTAACTTTTAGCCGTAGGGCCATGGTGTGGTGACTGTGTATTTTTAATTTTCTTCCCATAATCGAAGTTCCCGATTGGGGTTTGTGATTCATTAAATTAGTAAAGAGAGGAATGAATAGAGAAGATGTTGCGACTATTTTCTATATGTGTCTTCTTTGGGTAAAGAAACTGGGCGTTTTAAATACGGTATCTTTTTCTCATTATGCTCTAACGGGTTTCAATTAGGTGTTTGTTAACCAATGGTAGCCAGATTAAATCGACAGTGCTTATGCTTTGACTAGATGGGAAAAATTCTTGCGGGTTCTTCGACATTAAATCATCAATCCACCATTTGAGCAAAATTCTGGTAGGAGCTCAAGTTACCAAGTCTAGTAAGACGGATTGTGATGATGTTCTCGGTAAGTCTGGTCACCCGTCTTGAATTCAAAAAAAGGGGAAATCCAAGTGGCATGATCAATCGCTCCATTAAATCATCTGCTCATCAATTTCGAGGTACCATGTATTTGCAATTGAGTTTTGGGGTACTTGGACGTTACTCAGCGACGTGTGTCCTTTATGGGAGAAAGTGGTGATTTCAGTCATCTTGGCAACTCGTTTCTTCTCCGTTAAGACTACTTTGCTATCTCGCTCATTCAGATGCTTTCCCACGAACGTTGCCAAAGTTTATTTTACATTTCTTAAGTATTTATAGGAAGGTTTAATGGATGAAAGCGCAAATCTGATGATTGAAAAGGATGATTTCCTAAAGCAAATTGAAAGAATGAGAAATGTAGTCTTTTAGTAATAGTAGATTCAATTGAGAGAACTGCTAAACTCAGTGCTATTCGCTTTTCGGCATTTTGATTGTCACTTATTTATTGCAGCTTTTAGTTTATTATTCTGAGTGTAAAAGACTGCTTGCACGGCTAATTCTCCTGCACTAGTCCGTTGTGCCCGCAATATGCTAGAGGAAGCTAACTTTTCAATCATTCCATATTTAGGTTCTGCTACGGCAACCCTATAACTTTCTGGGAACTATTGTGCTTATGCAACAAATTACTTCATGCTACTAAACTACCAATCACGTTGGAGTTACAAGTGGGGGGGGGGGGACTGGACGTGTTAAGGAAAAAGGTAAGGCTTCGGGCGGCTTGTTTCAACAATCAACTGACGAACACCAAGGAGAACTTCTAGCACATATTGTGTATCCTACTGTAAGGCGAAAAATTAAAATCTTAGCAAATTCCATTGATTGCTACAATCGTTGCCAGTGACATAACTATAGCAATGGAAATTTTCTTTGAAATGTGTGGCTTTTAAGGGCGGGAAGATTTTCACAAATCCATCCTCTGAAGCCTCTCTCCACTGTCATTGAAAGGGGAGAAAAAGCTTCGCTTCTCGACTAATTGCCCAAAAAATAGTATATACACGTGGTTCTCAATTCTAGCTAACTATTCTCGAAGCTATGAGATGCTTTTATTTTTTCCTGAGCTATTGTCATGCCAGAATGTCACTGTATCCTTTTTGCGGTGGATTTGTTGGAGCGCCAAACATGCTCTACATAGCGTTTCTTGCTTCGCTGAATATCGATGGTCATTGATCACCTGGAAGCGGGAATGTTATTTTAATATTCATTGAGCAAATCTAGGACAAGTTGAACGACGCTATAGTTAAACGACTGTTAGTTCAAACCGAAATCACCCATGGAAAATAAACGCGATAGAAATTAAGCTTGTGTTAAAATGAATTACAAAATCTAATAAAACTGCTGCAGAAATGTGACTTTCATGTAACATTTGAATCATGTCATTAAACTTTTCCTACATCCTCTTTTGCTCTCTTCTTAGGGATTACATTTTTCCTCTTCAACCTTTCTTTCTTCCTCTCTTGAATCCATATAAAAAGAGACTAAAAATTGTTCGTCTAGGACAATAAAACTGGAAGGTTGAAGGAAGCAACATGTGGGAATGGGAGAGAAGTGCATTTAGTTGATGTGTGACAAAAATAGACACCTTGAAGTTGTGTCAGGAGTAGTATTACGACCGGTAAATACAATCAAGCTGTCTCGGGGCTGTTGAAGTTGTAGTCTCACCCCAGATTAGTGTTAATGACAATTTAACACTATCCAGTGGACATCTAAGTTTCAGGAAACTGTTATATTTGCTTATGCGGATATCATAAGTATTTGGCTGGAAGCTGAATGAAGAAGCTGTACATTTCGTTTGCCTATTGTAGGCTGTGGAAACTCAAAACATCAGTGTAATTTGGGTGCCCTTAGCTGCAAAATGCATCTACTTATAAGATTTAAGTCACCCATTTGGATACATAAGATTTTTGTCATTGAAGAAATCGTGTTCTATAACAAATTCCCACTTCCTTCTGGACAAATCCTCTCCACTGGGTTGAACCTCAACGAGGAGAATTCTGGTATCTTAGCATGAATTTGGGGATAAACACTATGATGCATATCATGTTTCCCATCCCAACTTGTTTTAGCAGATTTCATGTGAAAATGAATAATACCATGGAGACTAAAATTGATTAGTACGTCAAGAATTGCAAGAGAAACTACACCTGGAAAGTTACCATCTCCTAAGTAATAGATGATGAAATTATATTTTATAATGATGGCCGAAATGTTCAAAGTACATTTAATTTCTCAAATTGAGAATTCCCACTTTACTTTGCACAGTGATGCAAGTGAAAACTTGCAAGTTGAAGACTGTGACTGGTTTTCAAAACTTTCCAATCGTAAATGTTATCACATTGTGTTCTTTGTTAGAGCTCACTTTGAATGAAAAAGTTGAATTCGTCAAAGCTCTGAAAGTTGGTCAGTCTTAATCAAATTCTATCAGTTGGCAAGAAGATGTGACACAATGATATGAACAACTATTCAATTATATCAAATCATCGACGGACACTGAGTAAAACTAATAATAATTCCACGGTTCAAGATTTGAAAGATGACCATGGCGATACATCGCTAGTGAGATAGTAAACAATAGAACTTGCCTGGCTTTGAGGTGACGCCTAATCTTGATATTCTGACTTCATTAACTTCTCAAATCCCACCCCATCCGCCAACTAAGTCGTTTACCCATTTTGATCGTTCACTTTTCTAACAACTGCTATTAGTATATAATTTTTATTCTACTTCTAAAAAAATAATTCTTGAGTTTGTCTGGGTTCAGTTAGAAAGATATAATGCAAAGCAGAATATTCTATCGAATGCGATTCTACTTCCCAAGTACTGTGACCTCAATGCAAATATGATTTTGGTTATGATTCGAATTTCTTGGCCTCCATATCAGTGTCTCGATTATCCTGTCTTGGAATTCTGAGGGATGACTTAACTAAATGTAAAGTGGTCTTGTCCAAGTAATAAATAGTTATTATCCCCAAACCAAGTAAACTTCTTGAAATTATTCATTTTTTACCTTATTTCGCGACATTTTTGAAAAATTCATTTAAAACGATCTAATCGGGTGACAGCATTTTAAAGTAGAAATTACGCACCAATTGAACAATAATTTACCAATAGCCTACAAGTGTCAAAATCGTCCCTCAAGGTCAGGATGAGAGGGGCTTTTTATTGGTTAATGCAACTGGCCAATTTAGCCGGCTTAACACCTTTATTCTATAATTACGATAGGAGCGTAATGCGCCAAGGAGCCACCATTATAGACGTGGCCTTAGTTAATGGGTCACATGTGGAGAGAATCCGATGGTGAACATAATGTAAGTGATTGAAATATCCGCCAAAACATTGTTTTAGTTCCTGCCTCAATCACCTTCACAGGTAGCCGCATTTTAGTCTGATTAAAGTAGTTTCAGGTTTACTATTATTGATTATGCATGTGCTTCCTTAATTACAGCAATTCTTTCAGTAGAGTAGAAAGCTGCATTAATTAATATAAGTGAGCCAGTTAATGACGCTTAAACGATAATTCGAATCAATACTTTACGAGGTCCAAGTTTCTTCGCTTTACGACTGCAAAAGGAGAGCAAACAACTGCAGAGGAAATCTGGAGTGCACGATGCAAATCGTTAATTACTTCTACCTCATGCAAATGTAATGACAGAGCACTTACTTAAGTGACTACAACCTTTCCGATTGGCTAATGAAAACACAAGACCATTAGCACACTGGCTGCTAATGCCCCTTTGCGTACGATGCAATTTGTTCCAGTAGGGCGCCTCATTATTCCAACTCATGATCTAACATTAACTAACATCGATGCTTTGATTTCCCAAAGGCACTGCAAAGCAATGAGTGGGTAGGGGCAGCCACGCCTACATAAGCTCCTCCAATTGCACAGTTGTCAGTTTTGCGTGACCTTGAAATAGCACACACGAATATAAGAGGGCCTGTAAATTGAGAAACTCCAAACAGGTTCTCGGCATCATCTTGTAACTACCTTGTAAGATTATATATGCATTTTATTTTATTATCATAACGTACAGATTCAATTATGAGAT